CATGGTTTAAGTCCTACTGAAATTCATTGCTGGGCATCTTGGTAAGTTAAGCCTTGTTCTTCTCAGAGTTGTTGGTAGGTTTTATATTTTCCATTAATTCAATCTTTTTTACCAAAATCTTCATGAATATCTTCTCAATTATCCATTATTCTTTGCCTCCTTTGTTTTTAGTGAGGAAATAAACCACCAATCCAATTAATCCTAACCCAGCAATTCCCCCTAAAATCCACGGGAGATAATTCTTGGGCTTGATAGGATTGCTCTCTTTTTCTCTAACTTTGCCGGTATTCTTTCAATTTTTCATTATACTTTTATTTTTAAGCAATTATTTATCTGATATATCAAACGACAAATTGCTAAAATAATAATATAGATAAAAAGTGAAAAGCAGTCATGATTGATGCTGTCGTGACTATTAAAGGTTAAAAAAATGCCCATTATTTCGTAATTTTAGTTCTGACCTATCAGGATTATTTTTTGTTTAACCCATCCAAATATTTGTTAAATTAATTAATCCCTTCCACAAAGGCTTTAACACTAATATCTTCGTCTAAATCAGGTCAAGTAATTCCGTAGCCATCAGGCAAGATTTCATAATTGTTTAGTTGGTTAAGGTTTGCTTTGCGTAATCTTTTAAATCAAGCAGTGGGAATGCTAATTATTCTCCCGTCGGATAAAGTAGCCGTGATTTGGTATTCTTGGCATTGTAAATCGGTGATAAGTGGGTAGTCTTTTTCTCGCGGGTAAACTAGGGGCTTTTTAGTGCTAGTTTTCTTCCCGTTTCTTAAATTCAAATCATTCATATAAAAATTTTTCTTGGTTTCTTTCAACTATTTCTAATGCTCTTCTTTGGTCGTTAGCAGGAAGTTTACGGATTTTAGCAATTGTTAAAGGAGATAATCAAACTTTCATACATGGGGTTCTTCTTGGTTTTCATTGGAAAAGAAACGAAAGACTAAACCTGCTTCCCGATGAATAACTGGCATTATAGTTATTTTTAATCAGCATCATCATCGTCAGGGTCAAAGGGGTCGGGGTCAGAAGGGTCAGGGTCTTGTCCAGTATCGGGGTCATTGGGGTCAATCTCGGGTGGGTCGGATTCGATGGGTGGTGGGTCGATATCAGGTTGGTTGTTAGGATCATTAGGGTCAATGTCCGGAGGAATATCAGGCTCAATTGTTGGGATTTCCGGTTCTCCTCCGGTTGGGTCGAAAGGGTCAGGGACAAAATCAGGCTCTGGAGCAGGGTCGTTTTCTCCGGGTTCGGGAATGTTTACTTCTGGGTCAGAGAGAGGGATTTCAGTCTCTCCTCCACTGCCGGCAGGAGGGTTTTCCCCAGTCGAGAATAATAAATGTTTTTGTGTGGTTATGAGTATCAAGAAAGGGAGCAATTATGAACTCCTGGATTGAGAAATAGTATTTATGGATATGAATTAAAAAGAGCAGGATTAAAAAATTAATATTATGACAAGGTTAAGAGAAATTGAGCAAGAAAAATTAAAACCTGCTTTCTCCAAAGAAAAGCAAGAAGCAAGGATAATTAACTGTCGAATAAGTAAAGGAAAATTAACAACTCAATTAGACGACGGAAGGGAAATAAGTATTCTGGTTGATTTGCTTACTAAAAAAAGAATACTGGGGGAGAATGTGAAACCTGAACAATTAAAAAATCCCGAACTACACAATGAAGGAAGATACATTTATTTTCCGGAAATAGATGAGATTTTGCCAGCTTGAATAATTAGTAAAGGGCTAAATTCTTCTTGTTTTGACTAAATCTTATTTGTGCTTCTAATTTTGTTTATTCACAATATATAAATTTTTAATTTATCCCCCTATCTGTTTAGTTCAAACGACTAATCGCTCGCATTTTTGCACTTCTTGCTCGGCGATTATTAGCAATTTCTTCGTCAGTAGGATTTAAAGGTTTTTTAGTAAGAATTTGATAATGACCAAGTTCGCTGGATTTTTTGAATAATTGCTTAACAATTCTGTCTTCTAAGGAATGATAACTAATTACAACTATTCTCCCACCAATTTTGAGTTTTTGTAGAGCCGTTTCTAGTCCTTGGGAAAGATTAATTAATTCTTGGTTAACGGCAATTCGTAAAGCTTGGAAAATCCGGCGAGCAGGATGTTTATCGCTTTTTTGGGAAAAACAACTAGCCACTATGCTCACTAATTGTTGGGTAGTAGCGATTTTTTCTTTTTTGCGAATTTGGCAAATCCGCCAGGCGATTTTTTTTGCCTTTTTCTCTTCCCCATATTCAAAGAAAATTTTGGCTAATTCTCGGCAGTTATAATTATTAATGATTTTTTGAGCAGTCAATTGGTGGTGATTGTTTTCCGTTGACATTCGCATATCTAGCGGAGCGTCTTGCCGATAACTAAAACCTCGTGAATCATCATTTAACTGTTCGCTAGAAATTCCTAAATCAAATAAAAAGCCGTCTACTTGGAAAATATTTAGTTTAGTTAGATGTTGAGAGAAATTAATGAAATTATCGTTAATAAAAACAATTTTTTTGTTAGCAAAAAATGGGTTCTGCTGACAACGTTCAATCGCTTCTTGGTCTTGGTCAAAAGCAATTATTTTTATTTGTGGACAATGTTCTAACAAAACTTGGGAGTGTCCGCCCCTTCCCAAAGTGCAATCAAGGTAAATGCCATTTTTTTTAATGTTTAAATAACTTAAAGCCTCTGTTGGCATTACTGGAAGGTGTTTTTCAACTTTTAAAGAAGAAGACATGAATGAGTATAAGAAAGAATTTTAATTTATCAGTGAGAAAAAATTCTGCAAACTCCAAAACAAAAAAATTAAAAGTGTCTAAAAATTATTGACAACTTTCACAATCTTCATTAGACAAAGAACAAGCAGGGCTTTCTATTGAAATATTTTCTCTTTTTTGCGTATAACCAAATTTGCCAGCATCTAAAGTAGATTTTTCGATTTGACTAGCCCCCAAAGTCCTTAAATAATAAGTAGTTTTTAAGCCTAATTTTCAAGCCGTAAAATAGGTATCGTTTAATTTCTTTCCCGAAGTTCCGGACATAAAGACATTGTGGCTAATACTTTGGTCAACTCATTTGCTTCTTTGGGCAGTAATTTTTACCATTCACTCTGGGTCTAATTCAAATACTCCCCGGTATTTTTCTTTTAAAGGCTGAGGAATAGTTGGTATGTTCTGAATACTGCCGCTATAATATTTTAGTTGGTCCAAGGTGTCTTGGTTTCAGAGATTTAATTTTTTTAAATCGGATACTAGATATTTATTGACCACTACAAATTCTCCCGAAACATTGCTTTTTACGTAAAGATTACTATACATGGCTTCAATACAAGGATAGCAGCCCGCAATATTGGCAGTAGTCGCAGTGGGAGCGATTGCCATTGTGTTGGAGTTCCGCATTCCGTATTGGCGGACATGGTTGCGAACTTTGGCTCAGTCCATTCTTTCTTGGCGTTCAGTTGCAATTTTTTCTCCCCGCTCATTTTCAAGTAAAGCAAGCGTGTCAAGAGGGAAAATTCCTCTTTCTCATTTTGAGCCTGGATAAGAAGAGTAAACTCCTCGCTCTTTGGCTAATTGCGAAGAGGATAAAATTGCGTAGTAAGAATATTTTTCGGTTATTTCGTCCGCAAATTGTAGGGCTTGTGGTGAATTGTAAGCAATATCTAATTGAAATAAAGCGTCTTGAAACCCTCCCATCCCTAAGCCAACTGGTCGGTGTTTCAAATTGGAGTTGCGGGTTTCCTCGGTAGGATAATAATTTAAATCAATCACGTTATCCAGCATTCGCATGGCAGTAGTAATGGTTTCTTGGAATGATTCTTCATCCAGTTTTCCGTTAATAATATGTTTTGGCAAATATATTGAGCCTAAATTACAAACCGCGGTTTCTGTTTCCGAAGTGTTTAAGGTAATTTCAGTACAAAGATTAGAACAATGAACTACCCCGACGTGGTCCTGAGGAGAGCGAATATTACAAGCATCTTTAAAAGTAATTCAAGGATAACCAGTTTCAAAAAGTCGCGTTAATAATTTTTGCCAAAGGGTGAGAGCAGGAATTTTTTTCAATAACTTGATTTTCCCCTCTTTTGCTTGTTTTTCATACAGCAAATATCTTTCTTCAAATTTTTGGCCATAAAGGTGGTGTAAATCGGGAACTTCATCCGGAGAAAACAAAGTTCATTCTTGCTTGTCCCTTACTCTTTTCATAAATAAATCGGGTATTCAAGCCGCTAAATTCATGTCGTGGGCTCTCCTTCTTTCATCACCAGTGTTGCGGCGTAAATCGCAAAAGTCTTCGATTTCTAAATGTCAAACTTCCAAATAAACTGCGGTGGCCCCTCTTCTTTTACCGGAACGATTAATAGCGTGAGTAACGTCATTAGCAATTTTGAGAAAGGGAATTAAGCCGGTGGTTTCGGCATTGATGCTTTTAATGGGTGAGCCCACTGCTCGTAAATTGCTTCAATCATTCGCTACTCCGCCGGAATATTTTAACAGTTGCGCGGTATCCTTATAGGACTTGAAAATGTGGCTTAAATCATCGTTAATAGTGGAAAGAAAGCAAGAACTTAATTGCGCTCTTTTTAAACCGGAATGGAAAAGGGTCGGGGTGCTCGGAATAAAGCGTAAATTAGACATTACATTGTAAAACTCGGCAGCCTTTTCGTTTTTGTTTTTTTCGTTCAAGGTTAAGCCCATGGCAACCCGCATTCAAAAAGCTTGGGGAGTTTCCAAAATTTGTTTGTCTTCTCGCAAAAAATAACGGTTATAAAGCGTTTCTAACCCTAAGTAGTTGAATAAACTGTCTCTTTCGGGAACTAAAATTTGACTTAATTTTGCTAAATCAAAATCTAATAAGCGGGCATTAATAATTTTCTTTTCACCCATTCAGCGTAAATTATCCACAAAAGTTTGCCGGTAAACTTTGGCAAAATTCTGGGAATTGACTTTTTGGTTAAATACTTCGTGAAATAACTTTTGTAATAATAAACTTGTGGCTAATTCATCGTAAATTGGGTCTCTTTCAACAAGACTAGTTGCGGTTAAAATTAAAATTTCGGCTATTTGTGGGGTGGAAATTTGAGGAAAAAATTGTTTTTCAATTTCCATAATTAATGAGTCAAGGTCGATTAAATTAATTTTGTCTTTTAGTATTCTTTGAAAGGTCTGGCGGAGTTTGTTGGCTTGGTAATCTTCGAGACTTTGGTTGCTTTTGCGAACTTGGATAACACGGGACATATTATTAAAAGTTTTAACCGAAATGAGAAATTATTGTAACTGATTTTTAGATTTTTAATTATTTCCAAAATTTCTTTATTTTTTTGGTATTCAGGAAAAGTTTTTAGCAATTTAAATTTAGACAGAGGTAAAATAATTTGTCTTATTCCAGACGTTTTAAGGTCGTTTCCTTGCCCAGCAAAAAAATTATTTTGGGTAGTTCAGGTCCTTTTTTTCTCCCAGTTAGTTTCATTCTTAGCCAGGGAAATGTTTTTTTGTCAGGGAGAGCCTGACGAATATTTTCTTCTTTTCACTCTTCTAAATTTGTTAATATTTTTTTGATTTCTTTTAACTTTTCTGATTGTTGGGAAAATAAAGCAACCTCAATTGCTAATGGTTCTTGGAAAAAATACTGGCTTAAATTAATTAATTCTTGAAAATAATTCAACTGGGGACGAAATAAAAGGGCAATTTGCTCTGCTCATTCCTTTTTCTCTTTGGCTAATTGATATTCTTTTTGTAATAATTTTCAAGTTTGTTCGGCAAACTCCTCTTGGTCTAACTGCTGGATATAGTAATTATTATACCAATTCAATTTTTCTAAAGCAAATACTGCTCCGCGGGAATGTAAACTTTTTAAATCAAAACTTCCACTAGCCTCTTTTAAGTTAAAAATTTCTTGGGTTGCTCTTTCGCCAGGATGCCAACCTAAAAAAAGCAAGTAATTAGTTATCGCCTGTGGTAAATATCCCTTTTGGCGTAATTGGCAAATCATTTGAAATTCACTGGTTTCCTGGTCCCTTTTAGAAAGTTTTTGTCGTTCTTTATTGAGAATTATGGAAAGATGACCAAATTGCGGGGAGATTCAGCCCAACGCTTCGTACAAAACTAATTGCTTGGCGGTATTTGATAAATGCTCTTCGCCACGCAAAACATGACTAATTTCCATTAAATGGTCGTCAATTACTACCGCAAAATTCAATAAAGGAAGGCCATTATGCCGAAAGATGACAAAATCTTCAATGTCTTTTCCTTGGAAAATGATTTTTCCTCTAACTAAATCTTGGAAAGTGTAATCCTTTTCTTGGGGAACCTTTAATCGCAAAACATAAGATTTTTGGGCTTGAAGGAAATTTTGAATTTGTTCTTTGTCTAGTTGTAAGCATTTACGGGAGTATTGATAATTAACTCTTTTGCTTTTGGTTAAAAAATCGGCTTTTTCCTGGGCTAATTCTTCTTTGCTACAAAAGCAATAATAAACTTTTTGCTTGGCTAACAATTCTTGAGCGTATTTTTGGTAAGTATTTAACCTTTTAGTTTGTTGATATGGACCATGTTTGCTTGCCGCAAAAGGAGATTCATCGGGTTTTAGTCCTAGTCATAATAAATCATTATATTGTTTATAAATATATTCTTCTTTGCTTCTTTCTTGGTCGGTGTCTTCTACCCGCAAAATAAATTTCCCTTGGTGTTTTTTGGCTAAAAGATAATTAAATAAGGCTGTTCGGGCTCCGCCTAAATGTAATTCTCCGGTAGGGCTGGGGGCAAAGCGAGTTCTAATTGCTTGTTTGTTTTCTTTGTTCATTCATTATTTTTTTTTGAATTTTGTTTAGTTCCCGGTTAACTTGTCAAATCCGTCAAGTGGCATAGAGAATTGGTATTAAATAACAAATGTAATAAAGTGTTTTTTCACTGCGTTTCTCGCCTCCTATTTTTACTACTCTTCCTATGGGTTTTGTATTTTCATTATCATTCGGAGCAAATACTTGCATTTCTCCTTCCGTATCGATTACGCTAGCAATCAGCACCGGAATAACTAAAATGCCGAATTTTTTCAAAGTCTCCTTAAAAAGTTCATTAGTTTCTTGGGTAGCTCGCATTAAACTGCTTTTTTTTTTTTCTTCCAGGTGTGATCCCTCGATTTTGATAGCTAGTCTTTGAAGTGGAGTTTTTAAATAAGAAGTAATAATGCTGTCAGCAATAAAACAAATTCCTAAAATAAGTGCTGCGAGAAAGATAACCAAATTTTCGTTGTTTTTTAGTCAGCCAGCCGCCCTTGGTTTGATTAAGTATTCATTAACTTTTTGGGCGATAACAAAGATAAGAACGTAAAGTCCAGTACATAAATACATGTTAAATCGCCATTTATTAAACTTATCTCTTATTTCTTCGAAAGCTAATTTTTTCTTTCTCAATTCTTCTTTTTGTTGACTTCCTTCTTTATCCATATAAGATTATTAAACTGTTAATCGTCAGCGACCTTTTTGCCGGCGACGAGCAATTACAGAATAATTTTTTTTCATTCTTGTTAAAAAACCGTGCTTTCTTAACCTTTTTAATTTTTTTGGTTGATATGTTCGTTTCATACAACTATATTTTACACTTTTTTCTTCTAATTATTTAGTTTTTGTTTTATTGTGCTATATATATAATTTTAGCCTTTTGTTTTCCCTAATAATTCTTCTTTTTTCAATTTAATCAAGCTTTCTCCGGTGAATTGGTGAACTTCGTCCACGTATTGGAAAATATCATAATGGTGGTCAATCACAATAATCGTTTTATTCTTTAAGTGAGTAAAAATGTTGACAAGAATTTTGTTTTTTAAGTCTTTTTGAACATTACTTAAAATTTCGTCAAAAATATAAATGTCATAATCTTGAATAAAAATACACATGGTGGCAATTTGTTGCTTCTGTCCCTCCGAAAGGTCGCCACCTCTTTCTTTTAATTCAGTTCGAAAGCCTTGGGGTAAAGTTTCGATAAATTCCCAAATTCCGACTTTTTTGGCCGCGTGGGTTAATTGGGTTAAATTTTCCTGACTGAGGTCTTCGTCTTTTGCTTGTTTACCTCTCGCTGGCGAATGAGGATAAAAAACGTTTTCAGCTAAGGACATTTTAAAAAAGCCCGGTCGATTAGTTAAATAGCAAATTCGTTCGTGTAAACTTTTGGTTTCGATTTCTTGAATATTTCTTTCCGCGATAGATATTTTGCCTCCTTGAATGTTATAGAGTTTCAAGGTAGTTTTCGTAATGGTGCTTTTGCCGATTCCGTTGCTGCCCGCAATGCCGTATTTTTTGCCTTGCCTAAAACGGAAAGAAAAATCTCGCAAAACTAAATTGTTTGGGCGACCAGGGTAAGAAAAGTTAACTTTTTCAAAATTAATATCGCCATTGGTGAAGGGCAGAAGTTTCTCAGCAAGGAATAATTTTTTTTCTTGGTGCAAAAAGTGCACGCTTTCGTTTAATAACAGTAAATCGCTCGAAAGGTCGTCCAAATTGGCGCAAGCTTGCACTATTTTTTCTATTTCACTTTTTAAACTAATTACGGTTGTAGTGATAAGAATAAAGTTGTAAAGGGAAAAAGCCGGGTTTTCAGCAAAATCGACGAACAAAACAGTAAGAAAAGCCGATAACAAAATAAAAAAAAGACTAATATTGGGAACTAATACTTGGGTAGGAACAGCCTCAAATAAAACACCCCAGAACAAAGATTTCTTATTTTTTTTAAAGGTTCTGTCAATTAGTTTATTTAATTTCCGCTGCTCATATTCTTCCCCGGAAGTAGCCTTAATATATTCTAAATTATTAATCCTTTCGAAAATATGAAGATTTTCCTCCTCGTATCTTTTTTTTTTTGCCATTTTCAGCCGCGCAGCTTTTTTAAAAAGCAAAAATTCCACGACAAAAATAGCGAAAAAAAGAATTAAGGTGATCCAAATAAATTTGGAAATATCTAGCGCAATTTTCCCCCCATCTTCGTTTTTAAAATCCCGTCCAATAAGTCCAAAGCAAAAAAGGAAAAAAATCGCCACCGAGACATAGATTATCCGGTTGGCAATAAACCATAATTCGCGGGCGATATCTTGGGAAAGAGTAAATTGCGTGGTTAATTGAGGAGCGATTTGGGAAGAACGCGAGTAATCGGCTTGGACAAAATGCTGAAATAAGTCTTTGCGCAAATCGTCCTCTACTTTATCATAAGCGTAATTCATTCAATAATAATGAAGAAGATTAAGTATTGCTTTGCCTGCTAGAACTAATAGACCAACTCGACCAAAAAATTCCCAAAAACTTAAATTGGTCGCCAATTCACCAAAAGGATAAAAAAAAAAATCGTATCTCTGCTGAAAAATTGTTACTTTATAAGACCTTTGGCTGAAAAATTCCACTATATTAATGCCAATATTAAAATTAACAATGGCAACGGTTATTGCTAAAAAAGCGTTAAAAAAGAATAATCCCGGGTTTTTTTTAACAATGTTTTTAAAAACAGTTCACAAAAGTTTGGTCTTGCTGGGTTTTTTTTGTTGAAAAATCTCAGAGGTGAAAATGGCAGCACGAGGCATAGATTACTTATTATTGGGCTTTTATTTGTAATTTTACTTTAATTGCTCAGTTTTAACGTTTAATTTACCTCATTTGTCCGGGTCAATATCATCAGTAACCGGAAACAAGAAAAATTTACTGAGAAAATACTTAATGGCGTAAGTGTCCGCTGCCCCCTTAGCTTTAGCGAGGTCAATGTTTTGCCCACAAGCTCAAAATTCCTCGGTTATTCTATTCTCGGGCTTGGCAATGTCAATTATTTCTACTTTTTTAATATACTTTACCACGTGTTCTTTTTCGGTTTTTTCGTGAGCGAACCCTTGCTCTTTGTTATCACTAAATAATAAAATCAGTCCTTGTTCTTTCAACAAAGGTCTTAATTTAGCTAGTATTTGTGATTCAGTGAAATAGCGGTAGTTTTGAAATTTATTCAATTCAGTCCTTACTAGTTTGGCCATTTTGGGGTCTTGCTGAATAGCAAAAATTTTTTGGTAGATATTCATATAATCATTTTTTTCGTCCCTTTCTCTCTTTTGTGATTTAGCAAGGGTGAAATTTACTATTGAATGTTGAAAGAAATAAAAGCAAAAATTGGCGGAGATAGAGGGATTTGAACCCCCGCGGATTATTATCCCTAACAGTTTTCGAAACTGTCCCCTTCAGCCACTTGGGTATATCTCCATAGTAATGATTTTAAGACAATTGTTTTAGTATTTAACGGGTTAATCTCTATTTTGGTTGACTCAAAAAAAACTTATTGTTTTGTCGTTTTCCTACGAATACTTTTAATGTTTGCTATAATTTCTTTAAAAAATTAAAAATAAAGTCCTTATTAATGCCTAATGCTTCTTTTTTCCTTGACAAACAAAAAATTTCTTTGCTTTATAAATATTATCTTTTGGGTGATTTGAGTTGATTGGAACTAGCCAAAGAACAAGCCCAAACTGAAAAGCAAAAAGCCAAAATTGCTTGATTTTTAACTTGCTGAGAAAAAGAAAAATATCTAATCACGCAAATTGAAAGTAAATTAAAAACAGGATGGACTTTTTCTCGTTTACCACCCTTGGAAAAAGCAGTGTTAATTTATGCTACTTATGAAATATTTTTTGTCAAAAAAACTTTTGTTCCTTCTTTGATTAACCAAATTGTTGAATTTAGTAAAAGGTGTTTAGAAAATGATAAATACAAGTATATTAATAAAATATTAGATTTAATATACAAGTCCAAGCCTAACTAATTTTTTAAAATTATTGTCAATCAAAAGGAAAATATCAGCCTACACAAGTATTGCAGTAAAGCAACCAAAATCAGAGCAAAAAAAAGCCCGCGCCAATTAATCTTATTTTGGCTAAATTTTTCTCGATGGCAACCATATTAACTTTTCCATTTTGGAAATGCAAAACAGCCTTTTTACGGTACTTTCAAGCTTGCCATTTACAAAGAAAATACAAGAAAAAAAGAACATAAGTCAGTCAGGGGACATGATTGTAGGAAATAGAATCATAAACATTCGGAGAAATTTCCCTTAGCCAATACCTTCCGCTAGGAAATTTATCAATGCTGTGAAAAGGAAAATAAAGAAAGCCTAAAGTGAGGAAAATATAACTTAATAAGGTTCACTTAATAAAAGAAAAAGCAAAATCTTTTTTTGTAGCAAAATAAAACTTGTAAAAGTAAAAAAAGCGGCAAATAAAAAAAATGATTAAAGGAACCCAAAGCAAAAAATTCATGGTATATTTTGGATAACGAGTTTTGCCTAATCACCGGGGATAGAAATATTGAAGCATATTCATCTCAATTATTATAAAATTTTAGCCGCACGCTCTTTTGAACTTTTTCGTTTTCCAATTTTGGCTTAATTAACTGTGCTTTGTTTAATTTTTTATTCTTCGATTTTAATACCAGCACTCTTGGCTGTTCCCGCAATGGTTTTTTGGGCTTTTGCTAAATCTTCTGTATTTAAGTAAGGTAATTGCATTTCGGCGATTTTTTTTAATTCTGCTTGGCTAATTATTTTTTTCTCCCCGGCGACCTTTTTAATTAAGTCAGAAGTTATTTTGCCTTTAACCTCGAATTCATAAGTTCCGTCAGCAAAAACTTTAATTTTCACATTAACTATTTTTCCGCTCTCCGCCCCTTTCGTTTTTTCGTTAAATTCTCGGCAAAAAGTGCCCATTATTTTCCCCAAGGAAGCAATTTTCTTTTCTGGTTTTGCTTGTCCGCAAGGCAATTGAATTCTATCTTTCCGGGAAATTTTTTTCTGCATATAATCATTTTTTATCTTTATTATCCAAAATGTTTAAAATAATTTTGCGGAAAATAAGCGTTATTTAACAAAATCATTACTTTCTTTTTCTGAACAATTTGATTAGTCCAAACAAGAGCCTAAAAAGCACTAAGGCCGCACTAATTCCTACTCAAAATTCTCGTCATTTTCATTTATCCTCCTTTTCGCTTAAATTAAATTTACTTTTTTCTATAAGTCTTGTGCTGCAATTTCGGCAATACTTATCACCTGGTTGAACTTTGTAATCATTTTTATTTAGACAATTAGGACAGGTTTTTTCATATTCGGTTGGGTTTTTGCTAACTTTGTTTTCCTCTAACACGGTTTTTTTGCCAAATTTATTAAGTTTTTTAATAATTTTTTCATGTTCTCTCACCTTTTTTTCATGCTCTTTCATTATTCGAGCATGTTTAGCCATTTTTCTTTCGTGTTCTTCTAGTTCTTCATCACCTTTCGTAGTTTCTCACAATTTTTTCTTTAATTCTTCGTTGTGAATAGTGTATTTTTCGCATTCCTCTCCACAAATTTCTTCTCAAATTCTATTTTCGACTTTGCCACTAGCAGTATAAGAATAGTCTTTGTCAGGCTTAAATTTGTGAATTTCTTCCTTGATTTCTTTAACTTCTTCTGAATTGTCCTTGTGAGCAAATCAATCAATTTTTCCTCTCTCTTCTCAACCATAACCAAATTTACAATTTCCGTCTTCCTTAAAAGTTCATGTAAGTCCACTCATAAATTTTCACTATTTTCTATAATGAATTTTTAACTATATTAATTAAATTTTCCCGGGCAATCCTTAGTTAAAATTTACGAGAAATTAAAAATTGCCTCTTTGTTTTTTCAATTTTTTTAATTCCGCAATTCTTTTCTCTAATGGTGGATGGGTACGGAAAAGTTCCAAAAGTCAATCACTCTTTTTCTGGCCGGTGCTAATTTTTAAAAGAGAAATAGAATTAGGCTCTTTTTGGTAATCATTGGATTGTTTTTTGAATTCCTCAAATTCCAAATCGTCTTCTTCGGTTTTTTCCTCGGGTAGAAAGTCATCCAAGGATTCTTCTTTTTTTTCCAAAGCCAGTAATTTCTGTAAAGTGGCAATCATTCGGTCAGTGCCAATAATTTCCGCTCCTTTCCGGTCAGCTTTCAGTTCTCTTTTACGGATAGTTAAACAAACAATCATAGTGGCTATAATTTGTAAAATAAAAGAGACGATGTAATAGACTACCACGGCAAAAATAAAGCGGATAATTCTGCTGCCTGAACTTTCCTCTTCGTCTTTACGCGGAGCAGCTGCAAGGGCAAAAGCAAGCGTGCTTAAAGCAATAACTACTAAATCACAAAAGCCTTGAACCAACAAAATAAATCTTAAATCTTTGTGCATTAAATGAGAAATTTCGTGGGCTAAAACTCCTTTAATTTCCTCGTCAGTAAAATTTTTGATTAAACCAGTAGAAATGGCAATTAAACTATCTCTTGGGCGACCAGTAGCAAAGGCATTAATTTCCCGGGAAGGATAAATTCCGACTTCGGGCATTGGCATTTCGTAATGGCGACAAATGGCTTTAATGGTGCGAACAATTTCGGCTAATTTCGGATACCTGACCAAATCTTTCCGGTTATCAATTCTTTTTACTCCTTTAAACCAAATAGCAATTTTCTTGGCGTAAAAATAAGTAATTAGCGGACCAAGTAAAAAGAGAAAAACAAGAAGGAAAAGAATAACAACTATTCAGAAAGGAGGCATATTTTCTATAAATTTATTTTTATAATCAGAACTTTTTTTTCCGTATTCACTTTGGTCTATATACCAAGTAAATATGAAAGAAATAAACAAA